TTCTATAACATACAGTTCTCAGGAGAAAATGAGAGGATTTGAGGAAGTTTAGTCTAGAAAATTCCATAAAGGGTGGTTCCTAGTAAGGTGAAAGCCGTTTATGCCGATAGTGGTGGGTGGCTTTTCCTCCTGCAGATCAGACCATTTGGTCAGGAGCATAAATTGTGGCAGGGGCTGCTGTCGCCCTCTGGGTAGGGCCAGGATAGCAGGGATACCCTACAGAAAGGCCCCTTTCTCCTGGGTGACAGGAGCGTAAGACGAGGGGCCCTGCATTACAGCTGCAGTTGGGGCCACCTCCCATGTCCTGGATTCAGCAGTTTCCCCTCCCTGTGAGCCCAGAGTCACTTCCGGAGTATTCTCATCAACCTCCAGCTCTGCCATGACCCTTCCTCCATAGGCTGCAGTGATGACACCGAGGCAGTTTGTATGTGTGGCCCCTCTGTCCAGCCAGCCAGCCCCAGCCTGGCCTGCAGCACACGCAGGGGCTTCTCCAGCTTCTTTGTTCCTTCACACCCTCCCCTTTCAGCCTCACCCAAGGCTGGGGGACCTCGAGGCAGCCCCTTGAGCAGGTGTTGGCCCAGGCACATGGCAGCATGCAGGAGGCAGGGTCCTTCTCTGTCCCTTCCTTCTCTTCTTGAATCTTTGCCTCCCTCTGCGCAAGCTGGATGTCTGCACAGGACCCACAGGACCATAGTGGGGCTGGAGGCTTCTGCAGCCACACAGCTTCCTGCTGTCACCTCTGTTGTCTTGGAGGCTTCCTGATGGTGGGGCTGCAGACCCCGTGGCCCTGGGTAACCCTGCTGGCCCTTTCCCTGATTTTCCTTCATCCCCATGCACGAGAAGTCTGCTGTGATTGACATAGAGTCAAAGGCCTGAAGTCCCTCACTCTTGGGGGTGTCTCACCCCCAGGTCACATAGGGCCAATGGTGGGGGTACCTTCCCATCACCGCTGTCTTCTTCCTGTGGTGTGGGGTGGTGCTGAGAGTTAGGATGCTCTGTGACCTCAGCTGGGGTCACATTGAAGGGTCAGCGTCTGCAGACTTGACTTTTCCCTGTAGTAAGGGGAGAGGCCTCCCCTGTCCTGAGAGGGCTCTGAGCGCCGGGTCCCCTTCCAGAGGCCACAGTTGGCCTCTTTCCTCATCTTCCCTGTTCTCCTGGGTACGATGTGCCAAGCAGTAACAGGGGCGGAAAGCCCTGGGGTTAGGGGCATCCTTACTGATTGGGAACCTTCTTCATGTTTCATGCGTGGCCCAGCTAGCTGTCAGCCCAGGAGGAATCCGTTTGCTGAGGTGCAAGGCCGAGATCCTTCTGCTGACCATCATGACCCAGAGTAGTTCTGAGGCCTATCCTGGTTGGGTGACTGCTGTGGCCCCAATCTGTATCCTCAGGGTGGGCAGCAGTAGGGCAGGCTGGGCTGCCTGTGTCAGGCAGCAGTGGATGGACACTGCTTCCCTTATTTTATGAAGTTGGTTTTTTAAGTGCCTATTCCCCCGAATATTTTATGCAGAGGAGGGAAAATTTATAGTGGCAATTATTTTCTCACAGTCTGGCGCACAGGCAATTAGGAGTCGGGGGCTTAGCAGAGCGTGGTGGGTGGCAGATTCTCACCACCCTGCTCCCCGAGAGTGGTCCCCAACCCTGACAATGACGGCCTGTGTGCAGGAAGATTAACACACCAGCACTTAAGCCTGTGCCCCTCTGGCAGTGTAATCGCTCTGAAATAAATTATTTGACGTTGTGGAAATGAACTTGCATCGTGGTGCAGTGGGGTGTGTGGCCCCACTCAGGCTGGAATCTCCTGGGCCCCAGAGGGTTCTGTTGCTTCCCTGCTCTGTTCCTCTTCGCTCTCCTGGCTGCCGCCCTTCAGCTCTGTCCTGGCTCCTGCCTCCCTTCTGGGAACTGACAGCTGGCCAGCTGCAAGAGTGTGGGTGCCCTGAAGTGGCAGTGCCTCATGGCCCTGGCTCAGCTTAACCACCAGCTACAGCCATCCCTGCTATGGTCCCACTCTCTGTGCCCCCACCTTCTCTTGCACAGGGTTGAGTACAGCTGTGGGGTACCTGGCCTGACCCTTCTGCCTCCTGGGGTACATTCTGCTCCAGCAAGGTCATGCTCTGTCTGGCACTGTGTCAGCCCCAGGAGAGAAGCGATCAAGGCCACTCTCTACCTCAGGTTCTTGGGAGTTCCTGCCTGTCTGGGCTGCCCTGGGATGGGGTGCAAGGACCAGCTTGTAGGAGAGGGTTGGAACTTCAAAGCTCTAGGCCTAGAAGGACCTTCTGACCCTCCATTGCCACCTCAGAGTGGTACCCTGTCCTGGCTTGACCCTCTACCTGCTGTGCCTGGGAGCTGCCAAATCATAGAGTTGTCCTGGTTTGAAGAAAGAAATCTTTATTAATAATCTTAGTGATACTGTTAATTTGAATGGTCACACCTTGGAAGCATACAGAATGGTAAGAAAGGAAGCCAGGGGCTTGGCTGCAGTCCTGGGGGGTCTGGTTGGGGGGTCGAGCTGCTGCAAGAAAAGGGCCTGGACAGCAGGGTGGGGGCTCTGTACAGAGGACGCGCCGGAGGCGGGCGTGGGGCTATGTACACCGGGAATAGAAAAGGAGGATTCCGTTTCGGTAACTTCAGTAGCTGATGCTGAATATAAAGTGAGGTGTAGTTTTTAAATTTTTGACATTTCGTGAGACAGTGGAGTCACCCTGGGAGCTGTTTTTTGTAGTTTTTTTGCTGCTTCCCGTCTGTAGCGCTCCCTGCCTGCCCCCTCCCATTCTCCCACTCCTTGCACACCTGGGAGGGTGGGCTGCGGCTGTGGCCACTGGTCTCCCCAGCCCTTGCTCTTCCTGATATGGGTCCCTGCCCAGCCCTGCAGACCTGGCTGTGCTACAGAGCAGCAGGACTCCCGGCCTTGTGATGCCGCTGGTGCAGCCTTTCCCTGGCCTGGTGCCCCCCTTAGGAATGGGCTCAAGGGGAAGAGGCAGGGAGGGTGGGGTCCCCACAGATTGGCTTTTGCTCTTACATAGGGCCCAGGGCCCCATCCAGACAAAAAAACAGTCACCAAGGGCGGGGCCACCTGTCTAAGCACACAGGTGTGAGCTATTCCTGGCCCCGGGCTCCCTCTCATGCGGTGGGGAGACACCCAGAATTCTGCAGCCACATCAGCCCTTGTTGGAGTTGGACCCCAGGGCTGCTTGTCAAACAGCTTCCTCACCAGGCTGAGGGAGGCGGGGCCTAGAAGATGTAACATAGGGTGATGGGGCCCAGTGGAGCCCCGGGATGAAAAGCCACCTGCCACCCGCTCCCCAGTCCACACGTCCCCTCCGCTGCACAGCTGGCAGCAGAGACTTAAGCCCTGCTGGCCACCTCTTCCCTGCTCAGGCCTGGGGCCTGTTCCACCGCTGGGCCCCACAGCCTTGGGAGTGGGGGGCCGAGAAAGGAAGACCAGATAGAAAACAGAGCCCCCCACTGCCATGCAAGGGAGGCCCTGTCGTCCCCTCCAACTCCCCACTGTACTGCCAGCCGGGCAGGGATGAGGGACGCAGGATGCGGTGGGGGCTGTCCTGTCCCTGGGCCGCGCTCCACGGCGCCCCCGCCGGCGTGCTCCCTCGGTGCGGGTGTGCGGCCAGGTTGCGGACTCGGGCTTGGTTGGATGCCTCTTGGTTTGGTTGGTTTTTTGTTGCTTGGATCTTAACATCTTTTTTTGTTTTGTTTTTTGTTTTGTGATTTTTTTTGTTTTTTTGTTTTTGCCCTTCATGGTCCGAGAAGGAAACGGTGGAAGGTTTCACTACAACAGAAACAGAAAGGCAGGACTTGCAGCTTCCTAGGAGCAGCCTCGGGCATGCTGTGAGGGCGCCATGTCCACATGGCACAGGGCCCTGACACCTGCCCCCAGCTCCTGGGACCTGTGTCTGCTGGGGCTGTGTGGAGCCAGGATGGGGCCTGGGCTGCTCAGGGCAGTGGGAAGGAGCTCCTAGAGTGGGCCTGGCTGGAAGGGGCCCCCTGGTGCTGCCCAGGGCATGGCCTGGTGGGAGGACAGCCAGCGTAGGCACGTGGAGTGGCAAAGGCTACCTGAGAGAGAACTGCAGGGCAGGCGAGGTCTGGGTGGTGGGGCCTTAGCCCTGGCTGGTGGGGACCCAGGCCCTCAGCTGGGCCTTTCTGCCCCAGGAGCCCAGCCTGGTGCACTCTGAGCCCAGGACTACTCACTGCTGTCTCAGAGGTATAGATACATGCCCTGCCAGCCCTGGAAAGGGACCTTGCTTGTCTTGGCTCACTTTCCCAGGGGCCAGCAGGTCCCCGGGGCTGGGCATGACCACAAGCCTAGCCTTCATCTCCACAGGAGCACACGGGCCAGGGCAGCACCAAGGCCGAAACAGGTGCAGCCCCAGACCCTGGGCCCCTGCACGTGGTGCCTGAGGCTGGCTATTAGGAGCGGGCACCCGAGTGGGGTAGTGCTTCTCTCCTACTGGCTCTCCCATGGGGGCCCTTCTGAAATGTGCCCTGATAAAGACATCTGGAACCTGGGGACAGAGAAGGAGGCTGCAGCTCCAGGACAGAGACCGGTGGGAGGCTGGCCTGGGCCTGCCCCCCAGTGCTGAGGTGCCTGTGGACAGGCAGGGACAGCTGTCCTGTTCTAAGGAGTCACAGAGACTCTGTGACCATGGTAGTCTGCATACCATGTGACGTGTTCGTCATTACTTCTGTAGGAAATGTCATGAATAAATTTTAATTAAAAATATTAGTTTTGGTTGAATAGGGCAGGGAGGGAGAAGTGGCTATTCCTCTTACTGGCTGGGCGGTGTGTGGACGGGGCAGGGCTGGGGTATAGGACTGGCTGTGGTGGCTTCTAGGGGAGCCGGAGCGTTCATGAAATGTGAGTGTTGCCCATGCAGGGCGCTACTGCTAGGCCTATGGGGAGGGCTGCCCAGTCCAGGAGCCCTTCTTGGCCCCCACTGTGTGTGCATCATACCTGGGGTGGCCCGGGCAGTGACACCAACAAAGGCAAGACAGGAATCAAGTTTCAGACACACGGGAAAGACCAGGGTCAAAGACACACACACCAGCACGGGTAGGGTGGGGACGCCAGCTGGCTGGAGGTAAAAATCTATGGATCTAGAGTCGCGGAGGGCCAGCGGTGTGCGTCGCTGGCCGGGGAGGGGTGCACTGTCCTCCCGTGGCTGAACCTGGTGTTGGGGCTGCCGGGAGTGGTGTGTACTGGGCAGCCAGTGTGAATGCTGTTAGGGGGTGGGTCTCTTGCTAGTAGGGGGTGAAGCGGCTGCACCCTCCTCGGCAGAGGCTAGCCTGCAACATCAAAGGTGAGAGAGCCAATCAGTACCACCTTTTGGTAGGGGGGAAAAAGCAAAAAGAAAAAAAATAAGGAAAAACAAAAAGAAACGGCTAGCTCCCGTTTTCTCCCCCCTTACAATATTCCTTGGGGAGAAGCAGAAGGGGCCCTGGGTTGTCATGGCAACAGCAGGGGAGGGGCCTGTTTCTGATAGTGGGTGGACTCAGGGCCAGGAAGGGGCCATCAGCCAATGGTGCTTCTGGCTCACAAGCTTTTCAGTTGTCTCCTGGCCACTAGCTCAGGCCTGGCCAGAGCTTTGTCCTCACGTGGAGGGAGGTCTGAGCCGAGCCTCAGCAGGACTACATAGCCGGGAAGCCGGCTCGGCTCTGAGACAGGCAAGCTGCTGGGCATAGCTCTGAGGACTTTCTCTCTGGAGGCTGCTGGGGTGCTCACAGAGGTCTCTATGTCCTCCTGGGTCCAGCCTAGGCCTGGCCCTGTGTCCTGCCGGAAAGGACAAGTCTCGGCTACCCCTGGTCAGGGAGGGCTCCAAGGGAGCTCCCTACCGCACTTGCCAGTTTTGCCAGAAAAGGGGAAAAAATGGCAAGTTCAAGAGAAGACAAGTTGAGAAAAAACTAGAAAATCTTCCATGTAAAAAAGGAAACCACAAGAGGGAACCTCCGTGCTAAGGAAAGCCTTCACTAGCAGCTGCACAGAGGGGCTGTGGGCCCCAGCATCAGGGCTCTGTCCAGGAGGAGCTGTGGTCCCCAGGCCTGCTCCCCATGGCTACAGTAGTCACCACAGGCTACCTGGGATGTCCAAGGCTTGTTTAAAATCAAAAAAGACAAAAGTTGGGAGGGAGTGATCCAAGGGAGATGGAAAAAAAGTCCGTACTGTCTCCAAACCTCCCTCCTTATTCCCCCCATATGTTTTCATCTTTGATGCTGGTGCCAAGCTAGCTGAAAACTGGCACTGGCCCCCGGGGCTGGGGCGGTGGGAAAGGAGGTAGGTGTTCAGAGTGAGCTGGGGACTGGCTCTAGCTCTGCCGTTCCTTCATCTCTACAGTGAAACAGAGTGAGCTGGACTGCATGTGTTGCCAGCTGGACGTACATACACACACACACAGACACACTGGCCTGCTGGGGGAGTGCAGTGCCCCTGTCTTGCCTTGGCACCCCACAGCCTGTGGGATGAGGCTGGGGTAGAGGAAGCCCTGAGGAGTTTGGGGGGGCCTGGTGAGAAACAGGGTATCCATGCTCCCCCCTGCTGTGAGGAGTATGTGGTTGGGGGTCAGAGAGTGGAGGTACATGGTGGTGTGGTAGGGGCACATTCAGGAAGAGAAGAGGACACACTTGCACAAACAGCCCTTTGGCCTTTGGGTCAGCAGAGGTGGCCCTGGGTTGGTTTCTTGGGTTCTCTTGGTGGTGGGAATGGAAGGGCCTTAACAGGACTTTGGTTATGGGGCTCAGAGACACTGGGCAGGCACACTAGGATGTGTCCCAGAGGACCAGACAGACAGTCTTGTCTCACTCAACTGAGGGTGCAAAGGGCAAGCCTCCTCCCCTCTCCCCAACTCAAATGCAGGCCTAGACCTTCCAAAGTCACCAGGACTGAGGCATTAGTCAGAGGTCTCAGTCGCTGTCCTAAAGGCTCTGCCCACCCACCCCACTGTAGCACCGTGCCCAACTCCCAGCTCATCAGGACCATAAATACTGTGACCAAAGGCCAGGTGAGTCCCTGGCTCCTTACCATGGTTCCAATGCTGTAGGTCGCCGTGGGGCCGATGGTGTGGTGGTAGGGGTCGGCAGCTGCATAGACTCTACCATAACTGGGGGAAGAGTGTGGGAGGGTGGTGTGGGGGAGGGGCCATTGAGGGGTGGCACCAGGCCTCCCACCTCCACCCAGATACTAATGGGCATCCTCTGGCAGGGTCCCACCTCAAGGCCACCCCCATCCCACCTAGCCCATCATTCCTGCCTGTTTGGAAGGAAGTTTCTGGGACACCCTTTTAATACCTCCAGTGGGTGCCAACCCAGATGATGGTGGTTAGGCAACAAGTTCTGTTCAGACTACACAGAAGGGAAAAGGGGTCTACAGGGGGCTTCTCTGGAGGGAAGACTAAACTTCATCCCAGAAAGAACAGGCAAAGTGCTGGGGGTGGGGCCTTCCGGAGGACAGGGGAAACCCAGGAGTGACCAGGGGTCTGGCCCCCAGGGGCGGGCACTGACCTCTGATGACCTTCCTCTGACCTTATTTATTATGGAATTTTATTTATTTATTGAGACAGTGTCTCCCTCTGTCACACATGCTGTAGTGCAGTGGCCTGACCTCAGCTCATTGTTGCCTTAAACTCCTGGGCTCAAGCAATCCTCCCACCTCAGCCTCCCAAAGTGCTGAGATTAGAGGAGTGAGCCACCTTGCCTGGCCTCAATTTATTTGTGCAGGGAAATCTCAGCTCCTTAGAGCAGGGGTCCCCAACTTTTTGTTACCAGTGACTAGTTTCATGGAAGACAATTTTCCACAGGTTAGGGTATGGGGTGTGGTGGCAGGTGAGGGGGTCTGACAGGAGGTGGAACCTAGGTGGTGACACAAGGTATGGGGACGACTGTAAACACAGATGAAGCTTCACTGGCTTGCCCACCGTTCACTTCCTGCTGTTTGGCCAGTTCCTAACAGGCCATGGTTCCATGGAAGACAATTTTTCCACAGACAAGGTTGGGGGGACAGGTGTGGGGATGGTTCTGATAGGAGGTAGAACTCAGGTGGTGATGTGTGGCCTGGTTCCTAACAGGTCATGGATTTATAGTGGTTGGGGACCAGAGCATTAGAGGCTAGGGTACACTTTTGGGGGACTCTGAAGACAAAAGCAGCATCTGAGACTTGCACAAATAGGAACTCTGCTACCCACAGGCCAAATGCCCATCCCCTGGGGCACACTCAAGCACCTGCTCAAGTCCCCCTCAACAAAGAAAGCCACTGCCTACCTTCTGGGTAAGCTCACTGCAGCCCACAGCGCCAACCAGGGCCCATCTCCCCATAGAAGGAGGGAAGGGGCACACTCTGCCTTTCCTTCTCTGGGCTAGGAGGATTAGCTGTGTGTCTGGGGCAGAAGCTAAGGCTCTTGATTAGCACCTGGGACCATCAGAGCTTTGGGTGTCAAACCTCAGGGCTGGGACTCAGAGATGCTGTCTGCTCCCTGAGAATTGGCTGTTCCCAGAGCCTCCCAGCCCTGCAAATAAAGTGACTTAAATCAGGGGTTCACGAGCTCGACAGTCTCCACACCACACTCAAAGACTTGCCCTCCTGTCCTGACCCTGCACCTACCCAGTGCAGGCACCCCTAGGCCCTGAATGGTGGGCAAAGCTTTCTGTTTGGGCCCACCCCTAGAGGGACCTCCCTTCCATCTCTCCCCATCCCACCACCAGCCTCACCTGTCGCTGTAGGCTGCTGCTGCTGCTGCTGGCTGAGCGTATCTGTAGGCTGCATAGCCTCCCTGCAGGGTAAGTGGGAGGAGAGATGGCACATGCATTTAGTGGAGTCACTAGGGAAAGGCTGGCTGGGGAGAGACTGCTACAGACCCTGCCACAGATTCTGCGGGGCTGGGCCCTTGGAGGGACTGCAGATAATCCCAGTCTCCTGACTTTCACCTTGGCCTAGAGAGGGTTAGGTGATGCCTGGTCTAATGGAGGTCTGAGAACTGCAGGTGGGTATGGGGCAGGGTTCAAAGTGAAGCAGGACCATCTGTTCATTCATTCATTCGTCCACACATCCATCTGTGCATTCAAAACACGTTAGTGGGTACCAATTATACATCTGGCTGCGTGCTAGGCTTTGGCACAAAGTAGGTGTCCCGAGACCTGCCCAAGGCCAGTAACCCCTGACTTGGATGCTGATGGGCTTGGGAACTACAGGGTGACTCTGAGTGCTATCCTGGACATTTGGAAGGTCAAGGGCAAAGGGCCCAGGGAAGGCAATAACTTGGGTGATGTCTTGGCTGTAGATGAGAGGGTAGCTGAATTATGGGCAATTGCACCGGACTGGAGAGTGTCTGGGAAAATGGGGTGGGGTTGTCACCAAAGGTTGTGAGTCAAGAGTAGCCCGGTGAAGGGAGAAAGAAGCAACAGGACCCCACCAGGGGGTCAGCCCCAGAGCACAAGCATGCTGGAGCCCTGCCAGCTGCTCTCTCTTGAGGCCTCTGCATGGTGCTCTCAGGGGCTCACTCGCCAACCCAGTGTGGTCAGGGATGTGGGGAAGTCACCCTTTGCCCCCATCAGACAATGGCCTGACAATGTCAGCTTTCAGGGCTTCTGGGAGGTCCCCTAGCTCCTGTGATGAGCACAGCCCACCCAGATGGTCTGTGCTGGGATCCCAAGGGACACAGTGCTCTGGGCAGACAGGACCTTGCCCTCCTGGACTCTAGGAAAGGAGCAGGGGGGGTTGGGCTGAGTGGTGGTGAGAGGTGAGGACACAGATAGTTCACTGAGATAAACATCTGGCCCGCCCTCCCCTGCCCGGGGCTGCACTTACATAAATCTCAGCACCATAAAATCCATCCTGATACACGACCCTGGAAGCAAACGGACAAGAAAGTGGTGGGAACGCTGGAGAGGTGGGGTAGGCCGGCTCCGGTGTCTGCTGAGGAGGGAGGGGGCACGGTGCCAGCCCTGCCCATGGGACTGGCATTTTAACAAGCGTTTGCTCCAGTGCCCTGTTTTGGTATAACAATAGAGTAACATCCTTGCTGGTCAGCTCCTTTCTCCCACAAACCCAGGGGCCCAGGGGCTCAGTCTTGCACCTCCTCCCCCAGGTAACTGTCTCCCCCCTCTGCGGTGGAGGACACTGGACCCCAGGGGAAGGGACCACAGGGTTTAGGGAAGCCCCTCGCTGAGCTCAAGGGCAGATGACATCCCCATCCGAGCATCCAGGCCACATGGGGGGGCTGGAAATGTCCAGTGAACCTTGGCAACACTCTGCTGTGGTGGGGGTTTGGAGTAATGATAATTGGAGGTGGCGACAGCGCTGACTCCTGGGGTCCCCACCCCCACCCCGACGTGAAAAGCTGCCTACCCCTTGGGTTGCTCAGGGCCTCCCTCCCGCTCTTCCCCTGGCCTTTCTCCGAACCTCCCTTCCCACCAGCCCCAGCAAGTACTCACGCTCCGTAAGTCGGGATGGGGGGCGGGGGCGGCGCAGCCCGAAACGTATTATACACGGCCCGGCCCCGGCCCCGCAGGTGCGCGCCCCGGTAGGCAACGGCTGTGCCGGTGGTAGGGTAGGGAAACCCGGTCACTGCAGGAAAGGGGGCCGCGACGGCCATGAGAGGGAAGGCGTGGGGAGGGCGGGAGGCGGAGGGAGAGCAGGCTCGGCCTGGCAGCCCCAACCCGGCCCGCCCCCACGGATCCCGCCCACCTGTCCCTCCCCGGCCCCGCCCACCGCCCCGCCTCCCTCCCGTCCGGTCCCAGTCCCCTCTTTACCTGCATAGAATTCGGGCCCATAGACTGCGCCAACAACGGGGTTTAGCTTCCAGCCTAGAACAGAAGCAGAGACCCGGTCACCTGCTTCCTCCGTCCTTTCCCCACCTTGCCCTACTGCTGGGAACCCCAGAGACAATGGCCCAGTTGTGCAGGCTGGGCTCTCTCTGTGCCCTGAACACCAGGAGCCAGTTCACTCTCAGCCCACCCCTCTGCATCTCCTCTTGGACTCTTAACAAACTGTGGACCTCCAGCCTGCCCCTGGGGTACCTTGCCCCAGGGCATAGCCTAGGGTGTGCAGTTCGCAGAAGAGAATTAGGAAGGTTGTGGAACAGGTTATGTGACCCCTGGGGCCACAGCTGAGATGGGACTCTTAGGTCCACAGCCTCAGCACCGCCCATCTTCACAGTCTGTCCCAGCCTCCTGGGGGCGCTCTCTTCCCAGGGCCAGTCCTGCTCAGCTTTCCTCCTGTGCCCATCTTTCCCCAAAGCAGGGTGTGGGGCGGGGCGGGGCGCAGGCAAGAGCCTTAGGACTGGGGGTAATGCTAACGACAGTGGTTAGTACTTCCTGAGCACTTTGCATGTGCCCCACGTGCGGCTCCAAACCCATGGTGCCCATCGCCACCTGAGGTGGGCGTCACACCCTCCCCAGCTTGCAGATGAAGGAATGGAGGCCTGGAGAGGTACAATAACCTCCTGTTGTCCAGTGCTGAGTGGCAGAGTCAGATCCGAACCTGCAGCCCTGAGTCCTGGCCACTCCCTGGGCCTGAGCTGAAATTTGTACTCCAGCCCTTTCCTTCCTATAAGGGGCAGGTGTTTCTCTCCCACTGGGAGCCAGGAGCAGGCGCCAAGAGCTGCTTCCCCCAAGGCTTACAGCGCATTCAGACAGGGTGAGGTCCTTCGGCCCTCTCCAGCTTACCCAGGTCCTGTCTTTGCAGCAGGCTCTGCAGACCCAGCGCCTTGTCCCTCTGCACTGTGTGAGGACGGACAGAAGGGACCTGAGCTCACTGGCCAGCTGACGGGTACATGTGGAGAGGATGGCAGTGCGCACAGAGCCCACCTTCCCCGCCTTTCACCTTTGCGGCTCTTCTAGGCCCATTCTGGACCAGTGAGGCTTGGAGATGGAACTTCTATTTCAGACGGCCCTATGCACCTTGGCCTGTCCATTCTGGCTTCCTGGGTGTCCCACCTGTCTCTGCTGGCCCCAAATGACAGAGGCAGCCTGAGATCCCCTAGTTGGCCCCTGTGTTTCTGTTGCAGAGTTAACCCCTGCTTAAACCCGGTGAACTTGTTTTCTACAGTGGACCTCACTCTCCCACTGATGGATTTTGGAGAGTTCAGGAGTACTAAAAGCCAGGTCACGCTGCACTTACAGACTGTCAGAAACCCTGTGACGGCTTCAGGGTCAACCTGCAGAGAACCCAGGGTCATCCCACTGTGACCCTTGCTGTTCTTGCTACGCAGACATGTTTAAGTGAAAGGGTTCTTACTGCAAAGGTGGGCAGAGTCTGTCTCCCCAGCTTCCTGACATGTAGCCAGCACCGGTTACATGAGCCACGGGAGACAGCATGGCCTGGCTGAATTCCCCTCCCCGGGGGCATTCAGGTGTGGTTCTTGGATGAAGAGTGGACAGCCAGTTCCGGAGGTTTTGTAGCCCAGGTGGTCACCCATACCCTGTATAAAAATCTACCGCTTTTACTTCCTGTGCTAAGTGCCAGATCACAGAATAGTCTCCCCCAGGATGCACTGGGGACAACGGCAAGCCCAGAGCACCCCCACATTTTAAAAAAATTTGGGATTTGGAAGTCTTCAGAAAAGCAGGGTGGGGGCACGTTAAACAAGTTGTGCTAGGCCAGAGTCCCTACCCGGCCCTAGGACCTGATGCAGCCGGGGATCTGGGAGGGTGGCAGCTGAATCGTGCAGTCCTGCCTTGGGCTTTCATGCTAGTCACCTGACTGCATTTGTGGCTGACCACTCAGGGACATGAAAAGCTGGGGGTGACTCAGGCTAGAGTCTAGGCTGGCAAGGAGACTCGGCCTGTCTGAGCAGCTTTTAACAGCTTGGGGTGAGGAAGCTGCTCCCTGACAACTCTTGGGAACTATATAAGGCCCCTAGCATGTGGCTAGCTTTGTGCAAAGCCTGCTTGCCGGCTAGATTAAGACAATGCTGTGGCCACCAGTGGCTCCTCCACCTCTCTCCACAGCCAGCATGTGGCATGAGCAGGTCCATCTTCCAGAATGACGGGCCACTTCCTCTGCTGTGTGTGGTCAGCGCACAGGCTCAGGATTGCCAGGTTTACCTGGGTCTGGACCAGCAGCCTCAGAGCCCTGCCAATGTTTCCAAAGCCCAAGGAACACAGATCTTCTAATCCTGGGCACATTCACTAAATACTCAGCACACTTGGGGAAGCTGTGTGACAGCCCCTGGGGATCAATGTCACCACTGCTGTTTTGCAAAAAGACTGGAACTTAGAGAGACCTAGAGCTAGTTGAAGGCCCCCCGGCACCTTCCTTTCCCTCCCTGAGCCTAGGTATGCCATGAGTCAGCCCATCAGGTCTAACACAGAATCCTTCAAACCCGAGTCCCTGCAAGAAAATAAGTGATGACCCAGGAAGTCACTGCTCTCCTGCCGTGGCCTATGGGTGAGGGACTCGCTTGGGAAAACCAGACACCCCACTCTGTGTTTGGGGTGGGTGCCCCTAGCCTGCCTCCTGCCTCGTCTACCTACTCTCTAGGGGCAGAGAAGTAGCAAGGGGACTTGGCATCGGGAAGGGTGGCCTCCAGCAGCCCCCAGGGGTGCTGGCCCCTTACCATTGGTGTAGGGGTTCCCCGTCTTCTTATTGGTCATGACTCGGGCTGTGGCATTGTTGACCTATCAGGAGAGGAAAAGAGAGAGAGGGTGAGAGACCTTAGTCTTCTAGAAGGCCAAACAGCCACCCCCTGGCCCCTGGGGTACCCAGGCTGCCCCCAAGCTGGTTCCACTCAAGCCTCCTCTGTGCCCCGTACTGCCCGCCAGCCAGCGGGCCCCACAGCTCCTGGCACAGGCTAATGCCCGTTGGGTTTAGGACCCCACCCAGGTGTCCAACTTATGATTCCCACATGGCTGTTCCCACCAGCCCAGCCCCAGCTCTCTGGCGACCCAAGAATGCTAGAGAAACTTGTTGGTGGACTCCCCACAAAGTACTCTGGGACCTGCTGACCGGCCAGTCCCCAAGGCAGTATCTTCTACCCTCTGCCCACCATGTGCCTGCTGAAGACCCTCTAGGCATGGGCACCAAAATGGCCACACCAGCACCCCTTCCCCTGAGGCCAGAGTCCTCCATGCTCTGTAGAGCCCAGGGCTCTCAGACCCTCCAGTGTGCCAGATGGGGCAGGGTTGATGGGGAGACCCTGGGCAAGCACGTGAGCCTGTGAGGCTACGCAGGGGCCAGCCTGACATGGAAGGGCGAGCTTGTGTGTTTGGGAAGTTGAGAACACAGAGCTGAGGAGAATCTGGGCTGCACTGCCCCCACCCCAACTCCATGTCCAGGGTGTAAGCCCAGAGGGCCTCAGGCTACTCCCTGGCCAGGCAATGCTTTCAGAGGTCCTACGGCTTCCAGAGACCCTCCTCCCAGTCCCTCTGTTTCTGACTGCCTTGGCCACCAGTCTCCTCCTATTTTAGCCACGCCTCAGCTGCCCTCTTGGTGGGTCCCCAAAGTGGTAGCAGGGGAATGTAGACCACTCTGGGCCTCTGGCATCAAGGAAGGGGGAGCAGAGCAGAGGCTGGCTGTTTGGGAAGGATTCCCTGCCTTCCTTCTGCTGCTCTTCTGGGATGAACGCTTCTATTCACTGGCCACTGTTAGCCGCTGCTGAGGGTGCTCTTGCCCAGACAAGGGGTGGGAATGGGGGAGGGTAAGGCAGCAGCAGAGGTGGGGGGGGGTGTTAGTGGCTCCTCAGCGGAGCTAGCACCCTTCCAACTGGGGGACAGATTGGGCAAGCCATAGTCCTTGCAGCTGCCAAACCCCAAACATACCATACTGGGGCTCCTTAGGTATCTAGTTAGGGACAGTCTCTTTCAGAAAGTGGAAGGAGGGGGCAGAAGTGGGGCAGGACCCATGGGAGAGCCTGAATCTTATACCAGCAGGGGTCACAGCGCACTGGGCTTGGCCTGAAGCCAGTGGCATGGGGGCTCCTTCCACTTGCCCTGGAGGACCCCAGCTGGGCTATGCACAGGCCTGGCAGTGGAGGGCTGGGTGGGCCGGTGGCAGTGTCCTTGGGGCACCCCTGCCACAGCACACTTATCTGAGCACCTCAATTTTCCGTCCCTCCACGATCGTCCCATTCAGCTTCTCCCGGGCTCGGTCAGCATCTGAGCTAGTTTCAAAAGTTACAAACCCAAAACCCTGTGAGCAGAGGAGAAGGACAGACACGAAGAGAGAGACACAGGATGAGAGAGGGAGACGAGGAGGTATGGGTGGGTGGGGGAGACGGGGTGGGCAGGGAGAGAGAGAGAAGGGGCTGAGTCAGGTGAGTTGGAGCAGAGATGCAGGTGGCCCAGAGGTGTGTCCTGGTGCCACCGGCAGGATGCACGGGGGTGGGGGGATGTACGGGCTCCAGGTGGGGATCAGCTGTTGGCCCGGCCTGAGCCCAGCCCGAGCTGACCACCTGATACCTCCAAGGGCACAGGCCAAAGCTATGAAAGATGTTGACCTATCCTGGGGCCCGGCCTGCCACCTTAACTCCACCTTGGGGTCAGGTGGGGGCTGAGGCTGGGCTTCAGGACTTTGGGGGGCAGCCCACCCACCTTCACCCCAGGAGCTCAGGGTGGTGGGTCTTGCCTTCCTGGAGGGGGCACGAGGCTCATCTTTGCTGGGCACCTCCCTGGCCTGCCCTCCCTGAAGCCCCTCTCCCAGCCTCCGGGCCAACTCCTTGGGCAGGCTGGTGGCCCCTGGGGCGAACAGTTGAATGGGGTGGGGACTCAGGTCCAGGGGCCAGGGCTCTGGGGTGCAGGCAAGAGGTCCTGGCAGCTCAGAGAGAAAAAGCAGCAGTGGCAGCAACAACACAGACAGCTGGGGCAGGGCGGGGGCGGGCGGGGGCGGAAGAGCGGGGAATACAAGCACCCGTGTTGCTCAGGGGTCCTCGGGCGCGAAGCTCTCCAGGAAGGAAACGCACATTTCACACGTTAGCCTGGCGGGACCTACAGCCGGCGCTGTAATGGTGGCAGCCTCCGTGCGGCACCCACCTTGGAGCCCCGCTCGTTAAAAATGATCTCCACGTCTAAAATTTTTCCGAATTGCTGCAGAGACAGAGACAGAGAGGGGGGTAGGGGAGACAGAGAAAGCTGGGTTAAGACTGCTGGCCTGGCTGCCAGCTCCACTCCAGAGATGCTGCGACTGTCCTCTGCCCCAGGGACGCCCTCCCTGTTCCTGCTGAGGGAGAGAAGCCCCTGGGTAGCTTGGGGGCAGGAACTGTCCTCCCCACCTCCTCTGGGGTTCCTGTGTCTCCCTGCGGGGGGAGCTTTCCTGTGGACACACTGGCCCCATCTGGGGCTAAGGACAAGGAGGATGCAGCATCATCAGTGTCCCTTTCCCTTCTTAGCTGGGGCTTGGCCTTAGTGGAGAGGGGACATCCAAGGTATTACAGCCATCCCCAATTTACACTAAATGGTAAAGGTCTACACTGAGGTGCTTCTCCACAGGAGCGGGGAGGGGAGAGGGTGGACTTAAGTCCTAGGAGGGACAAAGCACCATGGAGACAGAACAGCTTGGGGCAAAGGGGAGCTGAGGCCTGGAGATCAAGACCTCTGCTGGGGCTTGGGGCCCTCAGGCCTCCCTGGGATGGGGTGTGGGATGCTGGGCAGTGGTGACCTGAACCCAGGCCCGTGTCTATGCCCTTCCTGCCCCAGCCCTGGCCCTGAGTCCTTGTGGCAGCCCTGTCTCTCTCACTGGCACCTGAGGCCATCCAGAGGCCTGTGAACCAGGTCCCCTGAACCTATGCTCTGAGGTCCCTGGGGGCACATCCTGAAGCCTGGGTCTGCGATTAGGGGGTTTCCCCTTCACTTCCCAGCATCCCTGGAGGTGGCGGGAAAGGGGGCAAATAAGGCCCTCTTCTGCCAGCGTTGCGCATGTCCTGTGGGGACCCAGTGAGCACAAGCACAGTGAGATTGTAGGTCAGCCAGACACCATAATGTCTGCCGGGCCCCAGCTGTGTCAGGGGGCCCCAGACTCAAGAGGGGATAGAGTCCTCGTCCGATGATTCCGAACTGTGCCAGCCCCTCAGTTGAATGTAAGCTCGAAGCCCAATGAGGCCTGGCCCCTTAGATGGGGAGGGGACTTCTGGGGACCACATCAGGGGTGGGTGTTGGGACTTGTCCACCCTGTGCTGCTTCTGGAGTTAGGGGAGTGCTGGGATCAAGGGTCAGAGGCTGCCAAGCAGTGGGCATGGAAGTGAGGTAGTCATAGCAGTGGCAAGAGGAGAGTTTGGGGTGAGGGAGATAGTGAGGGAGAAACATGCCAGGCCACACAGTCCTCTGTGGCTGTGCCACATAGCACTGCCTGCTCTCCTACCCAAGCAGCAGCCCAGGCCCATGTGGCATAAGCACTGCTAGGTGTTTAAGTTTAAGGACAGAATGCAGCAACCCCAGGACTCAAGGGCAGCCCTGCGTACTCTCACAACCATGCTGCCCCTGGCTGACACAAAATACTGTGAAATCTAAGAAGAGACCTTGAGAGCCCTGCAGGGACTTGCCTTGAGCCTGCCTCCCAGCAATTGCACCTTTTGGGGCTATCCCACCTGGGAGCTTGAGTGCCCAGACTTCAGGTATATGGGGGTGGGTCTAGGTCTGGGTCTGGGGCCATTGCTCTGGGAGGCTGCGCTGACTCTCCAGAGCCCTACCTCCTACTGGTGGTAGGAGTCCGAGGTGGGACCTGGAGAGTCACAACCAGCCTGGTTTTGGGGCCCAGGGGAGTCTGTGAAGTCCCTGAGCACAGCTGTACCAGGATGAGGGGCAGGTTCTGGCCAGGGAGCAGGGGGGTGGAGTTCCAGGGTCAGCCACGGCAGACCCCTCAGCCCTCCCTCCTCCTCTGCCCGTGGTCAGGTCAGACTGGAAAGGGCCCAGCAGCCTTGACGTAGTGGGGTCTTTGGGGGTGAGTGCTGGGAGTTGTCGCCCTGGTGTGAGGGGAGTGCTGGGTCAGGCAGGGGTTAGAGGCTGCCCAGCCCCGGGGCAGGTGTGGACAGACAGGCAGCTGCTGTGGGGCACAGCTGAGGGTGGGCTGCGTGTGGAGAGCAGGACGAGGGGCCCACACACTCACCCCGAACATTTGCCGTAGGTCGGGGTCCCTGAACCGGAAGGGGATGTTGGAGACGTGCAGCCGCTTGGGCTGCTGCTTCTCTGTGGGGTCGGAGGAGTGCAGTGGCTGGCTGTCCGTCTGTGCCGCCTCGTCTGCCTGCTGTGGGGAGAGGACCTGGCTGAGAGGCTGCCAAGAGGGCCTCAGGCTCTGCCGGTCCCCTCGGCCAGAGGGAGGGGCATCTGAAGACCAGATTCTCCTCGACCCCCAGGCTGGGATCCTCCAACAGCCCAAAACACTCAACCCAAGCTACCACCTTCAAGCCTTTGCCCAGACTGTGCCCAAACCTGGGACTGTGAAGCTACCTCCCTCTTGCTGTCACTGTGCGAGGCCTTCTGGCCCAGTCTGCTCTGATCCTTTAGTTCAGGCCTGTCCACAGCCTGGTGGTCTCTCAGCCCCATCCACTGTCAACATTCTAGAGGTTCTGGGGGGCACATGGGCCATTCTGACTCTCAAGGCCTGATGGCACAGTGGAGATGGATTTCAGATATGGGCACACATCTCTCCAGGGAGCTGGCCCTCTGCTGTGCCCCTACCAGCTCCTGCTGCTGCCTCAGATCTGAGGGCCACCTAGGAACCTCTTCCAAGGCATAGGCAGCAAGTTCAGTCCTTCATTTAGACCCAAATGCGGGTGGGCAGGTGGACTCAGACAGACTCAGTTCTCAGGATGCAAAGCTGCCCACATGGGACCTCCCAGCCCCAGCTCCCTGTGGGAAGTGGTCCAGGACAGAGCCTCAAGGCAGAGTGGCATGGTGGGTGCAAGACTTTTTCTACATGGACTTCTCCCATAGATGGGCTACTAGCACACAGCCCTGCTGATCTTGAACCTGACTCAGTCTTGGCTGTATGTACAGAAGCAAAGGCAGACTGGACACCCCACCTCTGGGCCCCCACAGGCTAGTCGTGGGAGCACCCAAAGCACAGATGCCACCTGCAGCTTGCTCTCCTGCTCAGCCTGTTGCAAGGAGGCATAGGAGTGTGAGTGTCCAGAGATGCTGTCAGTGGTGGCAGGCAAGCTGGTGCATGGATGCCCCAGGTCCCATCCAGGTGTCCTTGGAGGGCGTGCTCACTGTACCACTTCCTGCAGTGGGGTCTTGGGCCTGGCTGCCCATGAGGACGATGGACAGTGTATGGACCGGTCATCAGGTTCCTTTGCTTTCCTGCTCCATTCATTCCCTACTGCCCCTCAGGGTCATGGTGGGATCACCTCCCAAATATAACATTTGTACTTGAGTGCTCATCTCTGAGTCTGCTTCTGGGATGAGATGTGCGTATGGTCTGAGGGGTCTTGGCTCCAGCCAACCTGGATCAACAGTGCAGAAGAATGGGTGTCTGCTTGGACACACTGGTGTGCTGTGGTCTCCCGTGTGGCTCACAGAAAACAGCAGCTGGTGGGGGTAAGAGGCCCCAGTGAACTGCCGCCACGGAGCCCCACGAGGTGCCTGGCTGCCTGAGCTAGGGGGATAAGTGTGAGTATCCGTCACTGCTGATCAAAGCAGTGCTAATAGGCAAAAGCCTCTCAGAGTTGGGATGGAGTGGGGTGGCCCAAGGTCCCATGACTGAGGCGTCACCCCACAGTGGAGAACACAGAGCCCCAAGGGGCGGAGCTCACCCAAGGCCAGTTGGCTGCTACGTGGCCAGATTATGCCTGGACTCCTATCTGAGCGGCTCTTGGCTCTCCCTGCCCCCTCAATAGCCATCTTGGTCATTCTTTCTGGAAGCACAAGCCACTTCCCTGCACTTCTGTGTTGGCTAGGGGGCCTCTGACCAGGCTCCAGGGCAGCAAGTACCCTCAGGTGACCAGAGGGGAAGTCACCCTTTCCTGGACTGCTGAGGAGGTGGAGGATACAACTAGCTCCCTGTCCCAGCCTCTTCCCTGGTGGTGGCACCAGAACTCAGGCAGTCAGGGGGGAGTGGCCCGTCCTGCTCCAGCGTCCCTTAGGTGCAGCTCTACTTTCCTGCCGAGAAGGCATGGGAAGTGTGGCCCGGGGCCCACCTGTGGGCACACCTCCAGGCTCCTACATGTGCTTGGCCCAACTCTGATGAGTGCATGTTTCTGACCCCTCTATGTCCCCCAAGGCCCTCGACAGGTCCACTGCTCCTGGGGGTTCCCCAAGTGCTGCCCCAAGGAGCCCATTGGCAGGAGTTGGGGCTCTGGCAAGGCCAGGAGGTAGACAAGAGGTCTCTAGAGACTCTTGGTCTGGCCCCTATCAGGTCCTACTAGTGACAGGTCATATGGGCACCTGATGCTACAGGGCCACATGGGGGCTCCTCGCCTGAGTGTAGGGGTCTGGAGACACCAGTTTCCAAGTTCTGCGGTGTCCTCGTTGGTCTCCATCTTTCTTGCAGAAAGCAAACCAGTGTTAGGCATCCAGAGGAATTGACCTCAGCCCTGAATCAAGGTAAAACTGCCCAGGCAGCTGCCCCTGAATAGGCTGGAGCCCTCCTCTGGCCCCCACAGTGGGGCAATCTGTGCAGTGGTCAGGGAGGGTACGGTGGTCCCATCAATTCCCCTTCCAGAGCATTGCACACTCCCACACCCTTAGCTGCTCCTGGGTTCTGATGACTAAATTACCCCAAGATTCAGGATCTAGCCTGGATGGGGCCATGCAATGCTAGCCTCATACCAGCAGAGGGCAGTGGTCAGCACAGCCAAGCAGTGGGACAGTGGGACCAGCCAGTCCCACTCAGTGGGCCCAGGCAGCCTTCTCCGGCTGGGGCAGAAGGGCAAAGGCAGAGGTGGGCTCAGGCCCCCTTATAGCATCCCAAAGGCCCTAAAGCGTGCATCTGAGGGTGAGGCAGGAGAAATGGGGCAATGGGCATGTGGGGTTAGCCATGGGGGTTCAGGGCCACAGGAAGGAGGGAGTCCCTTAGTCCCCACTCTGGTCCCCAGCTCAGCTGGCGACAGAGGCAGACCCAAGGGTCCAATGACCGTGAAATTATAAGTGGTGGTGAGAAACCCCGTAGTGTAAGTAACTGCACACTGGTGGACCCTGAGGGTGGCAGAGGCCTTGCTGTGATTTGTCACAGGGCAGCCACCACCACCTTCCTGGCTTCCTCAGGGCCTCCCCCCCCCCCTTTTAAAAAGAAGTCTTTGCTTCCACTTCTCAAGTGCAGGGAAAGAGCAGACACCAGTGCCTCTCCTGAGCCTTCCTGCTGGTCTTAGTGGCTCTGCTTCCGAGTCTTGGCCCAGCCATTATGGAACACCGTCCCCACCAACCCATCCATTCAAGCCAGGAGGCAGCTATACATGCACCATCTCCACCGGCCTGGGGAACACTGGCCTGGCCACCTGTCTCTCTCTTCCCGGTGAAGCCTCTGCAGTGGCCCTTTGTACACTGTTCTAGCATTTTCTAACTACACACCAGGCTCTTGGCAGGTAAACTGTAATTGAGCACAGGGATGGTGTGACCTCTTGGTGCTGGACCCATGTGACTCAGAGAGTAAATGGTCCTGGCAGTGCTGCCTCCTGCAAACACAGACCCTGCAGGTGCTGGAAGAGTGAAGTGGCTCCTTCCTGTTCTGTCCCCAGCCCCAATCTCACTCTGTACCCTGTGCTGCCTTTTCTCAGAAGAAAGATGACGCCGTGGTGACAAGAGGTGCAAGGAAAGGCACCTACATGTCAGTGTGCCCGCCCTCATGGCTTCTTGCCAGCACGTTTCTTCTCTATCTGGGGGTGACAGAGATGCCCCGGCCCCACCGAGGGCTAGTCCCCCATATCTCTGGATGGGAAAAAGAGGCCTCCTGCACATATGTGGGAGGCTGTTCCAGGCACTGACCGAGGCTGGAAGGTCATTGGGGTTGGCAGGACCTACCCCTGCGGGTGTTGAGACCACAGAGGTGAGCAGGAGCCCTGCCTTCTGCGGGAGCCTGAGGTCCAGGCTTTTGGGGGTCAGCCCATCATGATAGACCAGGGGTCACTCAGTGCCTCTTTCTCTTCTCAGGGTCAGCTCTGCATCTGTCACTCAGGGAGGCTTTGGGCATCCTGCCTGAGCAGTGGAGGTGTGAGGAAGGGCCCAGAAGTGGCCAGAAACCCTCCTGAGGGAGGAGGAGGAGGAGAGGCCTGCTGGTTCCAGAAATTCCAGGAAAGCTTGTCCTGAGCTGGAGCCCAGTGCATTTGTCTTTGGGGTGGGGGTGAGGACAGACTTCCATCCAGACTGCCAGCCCCAGATCCAAGGGACAGACAGGTCGCCTGTGTCAACTGGGGGCCGGAACAGGCAGCTGCCTTCCAGAGGCTGGCTTTGTGGCAGCAATCTGCAGGATGGTTGACATGGGAGCCAGCCTACCACTCAGAGGCCCCCTCCAGTCAGTCTGGCCATATCTCCTGTCAGGGCAGCCCATGCACTCAGGGACAGGGCAAGACGACCCCACAGAGGACTGCACACAGACCTGGTGCTGACATGGACCCCAGACACTCTAGTGGAGGCATCTTGGGGGGGGAGGTTTGGGGACTCCATGTAGACCTACAAGAAGATGCCCTCACCCAGGAGGCCTGGACCAGAGCTCTGAGCCTATCCTACTTACCACCCTATGCCTCGTGATCCCAAGACCAGTCTGCTGGGGTGAAAGGCCAAGAGGAGGCTGGAATGAGCTGAAAGAGCCCTCCCCATGTCCACACAGGGTGAGGTGACGCCCATGCGGCAGCCTTGGGAGGAGGCTCAGAACACTTTCTGAGCTCCCTCCCAAGCTGGAGGCTGTGCTTGAATAAAACACTCCAGGGAGTGTCAGGGAGCTCAGGCTCTTTGTGGGAGCCCAGGTCTTTGTGGGAGCTCTGGTGCTCCTGAAGTCTTCCTGCTACAGCCCACCCAGTAACTCCCACCTGCATCCCTGCATGAGGCCCAGACTCACGGAATAACTATCTCTTTTCCTGTCCCTACAACCTCAACCCTGACCCCCTGCAGGATCTGAAAGACCTAGGCAGAAGAGAGGAAGGTCAAGGCTGCCTGCCCATCCCTGGCTCTGGTGTTCTCTGCCCAGCAGTCTCCTCGGGAGGCCCTTGGGCTTGGCACCGGCCCGCTTAGTCGAGGCATTCCCGTCTGGATGTGGTGCTGGCCTGTGCAGCGGGTGCTGCTCACTCCGGGCCTCCCCCTGGCCGGGGACTCTCTCAGGCTTCCAGACAGGGTACCCCTTCTGTCTTTGATTGGTGGGAGCCAGGGACAGGGCTGGGTGACTTCCTCTCTATTCAGGGCACATTCACTGTTGGGTACAGAGGTGCCACATGAAGGAAGATGCTGTGTGTCCTGGTGGGTGGTGGCTGGTGGCCCCAGGGTGTCTAGGAGGCCTCATTTCTTTATTCAGTTATTAGCTATTGGTCCCCACTTTGTCATCTGTGACTCTGACCAGACAAGCCTTGTCTGCTTCGGTCCATCAGAAAGAGCGTGTGGTCACTCTGCTCGGACTTGTTTACTGGGAACCTGCTCTAGCTCCTGGGATCAGCCGTCTCTTCTGAGCACACACAGCTCATGGGTGTGATAAATCAGACTCAGAGTGGCCCAGGAAGTATGGCTGGACCCCTGTTTCTATCACCTTATGGGCCTGGCCTTGTGTGGCCTGCCACCACAGGAAACCTGGGGGTCTGCAGGGGACATTCTGTATGAGGGTGCTGGGGGATGAAGTGCTGATGGCCTAGGGCTGACAGGGTTGGATAGTGCTCCCAGCCTGGAGGAAGGGCACCAACTGGGCCCCAGATGGTGGGCAGCGGGGTGGGCACTCTTCTCAGATAGCTTAGGTGATGCTGGAGGGAGCCCCTGCCCATGCATGGGGTGGGGGCGGAGAATATTTGGGTCCATGGAGCATCCTCCAAGCCAGGGCTGGGGGAAGGCTAAGGGAGCACAGTTCAGAGGGCCCCTCGGGGAGGTGCCAGGGCGGCCCCACACCCAGGCAATATGGAGTGTGCTGGCCTCCCACCTGATGCCCCAGAGCAGGGGTGTGGGAAGGGACACAGGGCATAGTGGAGAGGGCCAGGGGAAGGACGGGAGCTCTGGGGATGGAACGGGGGGGCCATCCCAGGCTGGTCACTCCTTGCCAACTCCCTGCGCTCTCAGGAAACCGGAGAAGTGCCGAGCTCAGCAATTGTGCCTGGGAGCTGCATTACAACCACATAATTGAAGCGATCTGATTGGACAGCAGCCAGGCAGGTAGATTACAAGTGATTAGGGGCGACAGGAGGCCCTGCAACTGAGCTGGCGGCAGGCAGGGCCTCCAACACATGCTCTGCCTCTGGCCTGCGAGGACACGCTTTCCCAGATGAGGTGAGCATTTGCCTGAAGCTGTAGGGGCAGCCGCTGCCCCATCCCGGGTGCCCAGTGGTTCCTCTAAGACTACTGTCCATCACTTGGGTCCCTGGGCTGGAGGAGGAAGGCTCCAGGGTGGGGCTGGAAGCATCTTTGCTGTGTCACCCCTTTTTTCCTGAGTGCCCTCAGGTCGCCCTGGACTAGGAGTCCCCTAGGAGGCCTCTCCACATAGAGGCCCCTCCCAGGTTCCCACCCCTTTGGCTTCCCACCTGCCCTCCTGGGCTGCCAGTAGATGGGCACCCCTCCCTGAAATTCCTAGGCCCTGAGGGGGGCCCTTACCGGCACTGTCTGGGTCCCAGTGATGGGCTGCGTGCTGGCCTCAGTGCCTGGCTGCTCGGGGTGGGTCTGGGCTGGTGTGTACAGGGTCATGCCGTGCTCCGGGGGCACCGGGGTCTGGCCCGGGTAGTCCTGCGTGGGGTGCGGTGGGGGCGGGGCATACTCGGTGGGGATGCCGTTCTGTGGCGGAGGGGCGTACTGGGCAGGGGGGTAGGGCTGGGCCATCGCTTCAGGCGGAGCCGTGGCGTCCTGGTCGCTCTGTGGAAGGAGAGAGAGGGAGGCCTGGTTAGCATCTTTTGGCCAGGCAGGTTTCCCAGAAGTCTCTGTGGTATGGGTACCGTGCGCTTAGCACCCTCTGGGCCCTTCCACACAGGCGCCGGGGCACAGACCACAGCTCAGTGGGGGAGCCAGGTCTGGATAAGATGCCATCTACTCAGGTCTGTCAGACTGGGGCACAGAACTTAAGGCTTTTTTCTTTATTGAATGGTAACTATGTACACTAATGCACTTCTGGGGTACAGTGTGGGGTTTTCACACACAATCCAAAACACTTCCATCAAACTGGTTAACATAGCTTTCATGTCATTTTCTTAGTTATTATTTTAAAACATTCACATTCTACTCTTAGAAAGATTCACTTGTACCCTTGTAAGATAAACCTCAGAAGTGATCCCTCCAATCCCAAGGCTTTTTTTCTTAACCTACTTAATTTTTAGAAGTTAATCGTCTTCTTTTGAGGTAATAAGAGACTCACATGTAGTTGCAGTAGTAACAGAGATCCCCGGGCCTCCCACCTGGGAGCCCCACATGACATCTCTGGGACGCTGGCACTGGTCCAGTCAGGACAGGGGATGTTCCCCAGCATGAGGGCGGTAACAGCTCTGCTGCTGCCAGTTCTGGGGTCCTGCACTGTCTTTGGTGGCCCCTGTCCCATCCCTAGACACTTCTGTAAACAGTCTCTATGAAAATAACTCTCCTCTGATTGTCCTGGAGTGGGTGAGCCCCAGTTCCAATCCTAACAACCTGATGTGGGATAATGGGGGCTGGTCCTGCCCGAAGTGGCTCTGTGGTAGGCAGGGCCTGACAGCTAACTGTCCTAGCCCCGATGGCTTCCACTCAGCTCTTATGGCCTGGCACAGCCCATGGTGCCAGGATTCTGTGCTGGGTGAAGGGCCAGAGGCTAGGGCTGTGTGGGAGGACCCCTGAGGTCTCTGCTCACATCACTGTTCCAGTGTGGTCTCTGTCTGTGCTCCCTGGCCAACGTGCTCCCCGTCCTCCCTGGGTGAGCTGCCTGCAGCCTGCATGTGGCTGATGCTGGCAGGATGCTCAGGGAGTCGGGTGCTGGGGGTGGGCAGGAAAGCTGAGAGTCTGCCAGCCCCTCCTGTGGTGCAGCCTGGCCACTTTCCCTCTGCACAGCCCCCTGCTGGCTCCGGCTGCTCTCACCCTCCAGGACAATTAAGATAATTGCCCTTAGGCGCCCAGTCCTGGAGGGAGGGCGCCACGTGCCCAGAGGCTGCAGGCTGCCAGGATAGGAGCCGGGCACTGGGCCATTTCCCTACCACCTCTGGGGAAATCCAGCTTCCAGGCAGGAAAGAAAGGGGGCGAGGTGGGAGACCAAGCCCCATCGGCCACACTGTCAGGTGTGTCATCAGCCTGTGCCACCTGCCAGCTCTCCTGGGAGGGAAGTCCACCCATCTGTTGCCTAGGAGGTGGCCCCAGCTCTCATGACCACCCCGAATGTAATCCTCCCAGCAACCTGAAGAGGTGATGCTGTGACTGAGCCTCACAGAGGGAACACTGCCAGTGGCTATGTGGTCAGGGAGCAGGGAAGCCCCCAGGCCACCTAAGGACAGAGATGTTCCAAAGTCTTCTTGGCCATGTCGGCTGCTTTTGTGGTGAGTGTGTGGTTAGTATCCAGCTGTGTAGAAGGCAGATGGGAGGAGGGGGCTCAAGACTGGGTCTTGGGGCTGGGCCTCGGGGCTGGCCCTGGCATATGTCCCCACGATGGGGACCAGGACAGGATGGACAGATGTAAATTTTCTATTCCTGGAGCAGAGGCAAAGCCAGAGAGCTGTCACCCTTGTCTCAGGCCGCAATCTGAGCAACCTAAATACTCCTTCAACCTGACGACAGGTGAGCGCAGAGACGCCAACTCAGCCTGCCGGGCAGACCCTCGGCTGCACCCTCCCGACAGCACCGAGGGCTGTTCTGTCAGTCTGGGAACAACCTGCCACTCTTCAAGCTGAACTCTGCATACTGGAAACTTCCACCCAGCACTGGGCCCTGCACATGGCCCACAGCCTCATCCATGGCAGGCTGGCCCTCCCAGGACGCAGAGTCTGCGACCCTGTTGATGGCCTGTCTTGCCCTTCTGCACAGCTCCAGGGAGGATGAGCCAGGCTCAGCCCCACCCTGCAGGCAAACACTCCCAGGCAAGTGGCTCCAGTCAGATCCAAACCCGGGCTGGGCTTGAAAATCATCCCCGGACTTCCCAGACTGGCAGTGGTGTGTGCCTATGTGGTGCCCTTGGGGGCTGAGAGCTGCCTCACCTCTCCAAGCCCACAAGCAGAAAGGGAGGCTCACGGCCTTGCCTGCCCAGGGTGGCAGCTGAAGAGCAGGTGGACATAGTGTCCCCAGGATAGCAGGAGCCCAGTACTGACACGCAAGGGAGGGTAAGAGGCTGGAGGAAGAGGAGTGACCAGAGACAAGGCGTCACCGGACAACGCATTTGCTCTGGCTGTGTTGAAGGTGATACTCCTGTTTTCTGTTCTCTAGTGAGCACATCACAGGACTATGAAGTTTGGAGGAAAAAGAAAACGAATGAAGATGGCCGTGGAAAGAAAGATGCTGTCCAGGGAAGAGCCCAGATGTCCAGTGACTGCCACCCTGCGAGCCCCACGCCAGGACTGCTCATCATACTCCTGCCGCCTGTCTTTGGCAGGGTTGGGTTTGGTCCTGGGGTGATGAGCTGCTGTGACTGGCAGGGCCCTGGGCAGGACCAGTGTGATGTGTCTGAGCATCCCCAAGGAGGGAGCAGCCTGCCCTGCTCCCAGACCTGTGAGCACTGACCCCAGAGGGCTGCAGCAGAAAGGGGTCTCAGCAGCTATTCTGCCCACATTGTCTGGGAGGAGGGGCACCCAGGGAGCTGGGCTTGCCACATCACGCTGCTGGCAGGTGCAGGAGGACTGGTGCTCTTTGCATCTCCACCACCAGGAGTGAGCCATGGTGTACCAACCCGTTCAGAAGGCAATGTATCTTGTGACTTGGGCCTGGTTCCAGGCACCCAGGACACTGCCAGCAGAGCCCTGTACTCAGGGGCAGACTCCCAGGCAGCCCCCTCAGACATTAACTAAACTGGAGATGCAAGTTCAGAGCTCAGCTCATTAGCCCCTGGTAGCAGGGGCTGGGCAGTCCTGTGGACACTGCACTTGCTCTGGGGGGCCATAGGGGGCCCCCCTCATGCGGAGCAGGGAGGGACTCGGTTTTTCCGGGAGCACCAACACAGGAATAAACTATCATGAGAGGCTTTTTGATGACCTGCAGAGATCCCCAAAGCAGGTTCCTCCAGGTGCTTTGTGGATTTGGATCTGGTGGGGCTGTCCTGATGCAAGGCACTGGCAGGGGGGCAGACAGGAGGGCCTGGAAGCCACGGTCTAACCACAGCTCTGTCCTGTATCAGCTACCCCATGACTCAGGGGCCCTGACCCCAAGTTTCATGGCCAGTGGGGCTGAGAGTAAGCCCTTCCTTCAGACACCAGTGGAGGCCCCAACCAGGCTGAGCACCACTGTAAAACCAAACTGTAGCCAGCAGGAGGTGAGCAAGCAAGGCCTGGGGGCCAGGGGTGCCCGAACCCGAGACTCCTTCCCCACACACCAGAATGGGCAGCAGGGGGTCCCTGCAGGCCAGCACTCCCAGGCCAGAGACTTTGAGGGGTAGTCCTGTTTGAGCAAGGGAGGCTGGTGCAAATGCCTGGGGGGCAGAGTGAGCCTGCCATGAGGATGCCCACCCAAACCTTCCAGAACTGTGGCAGTCAAGGATGGTGCTCTAGCTGGAGAGACCTTGAGCACAGGGCCTGTGCCTCCATCACTGAGTCCCCAGAGGCTGGCAGAGCTCAGGCATACAGAAGGAGCTCAGTAAATGCTCAGCAATACTGATGGCTGATGATGGTGGTGATTATAATAGGAGCAGACGCTGGTGAAGCTTACATGAGCTACACGTTGGGTTAAGCAACAGAAGTACATTATTTCACGTGATCGACAGACAACGAATGTTGAGCACTGGCATTCTTGACACGAGGGGAGAAACTCAGGGTGTGAAATTACCTGCCCAGGCACACACACCGGGACAGGGCAGACCAGGGATTTGAACCTGAGTTTGGAACCACCTGATGCTGCCTGACAGGAGTGGACTATTATCTAGTTGGGAGTAAGAAGAAAGGGTGTCCCCCACCTATGCTGACCCTTCCTGACCCTCAGAGCTCCTACCCCTGTCCCAGCCTCCTGAGTTCATACCAACCCAGCAACCAACAAGGGTTTCCTGTTCTCCATGCCCACCTCTGTGCTGGACAAGTACTTTCTCTAGTGTTCCAAGGACACCATGGCCTCCACAGGAGCTGACCTAGGCTGTCCCCTCACTCTTGTGGGGAGAGGAAATGGAGTGCTGGTAAATGTTTCTCAACTGGTTTCACACAGAAAACCCTGCTTTGTCCAGTTTGCGATTTCCTTGGTGTAAACACTCCCTGCCACCACTGATTCCCAGCTACCAGCTTAAAGTCGTCAGGGTGGAGCTGGGGAAAGAGACACAGCTGGAGCCCATGGAAGACTCTAGCCTACCTATGCAGGGCAGGAAAGGAAGGATCTGCCTCAGTCGGGTTCTAACTCAGCTCCCCCACCCCAGTGCAAGGAGGTGTGGGGAGGCCTGGACGGGAGAAGTGTGAGGGTGCTCCGTGAGAGAGGAAGGGCCTGGTCAAGGGGCACTGGGCTGTACTGATACTGGAGAAAAGCTCAGGAGGCTCCCGGGCCTGGGGCAGGGACACACCTGAGTGACTGCTCCTCCAGCCCCAGACAATCCATTCTGTCCCCTGACAGTCAGTTTAATATCTCTTATTAATTGGGGCTGTCGGATGGCCTGCCACACCGCATATTACTTCATTTAGGGACCATTAGGTCTCCATATTCCACAGTCACCGGCTCTTGGGCCCTGCCCCTCCTTCCCTCCTACCTTCTCCATGAAGGCATCTTGGAAGGCCC